GGGGGGGGGGGGGGGGGGGGCTGCAACACCCCAATAATTTTTTTGGTCAGGCAGTTTGCACTCAACATGCTGCTATATCAAAAACGTTTTGAAAAAAAATCCAGAAAAAATATATCAGCATGAAAAAACATTTTACAAAACAACATGCATGACAGAAACCTCCCTCAGTTAAAAATGTTAAAATAAATTATCTTGGTTAATTTAATTACTGTTAAATTACTTTTCTATCATCAGTTATACTTGATTTCAAATATTTTACAAATTATAATCTTTTATAATTTCTGTGCAGACAATTATTGCCAGTGTGATTGAAGAAAGTTATGTTCCATGTACGTATAGTTTCCCCATAGTATAAAGTTCAGATTTGAATTCCACTACCATTATTAAGGGAGCATTAACCAATCGGATGCATTTGATATATCCGATTAACCAATCAGATGCATTTGATATATCAGATTAACCAATCAGATGCATTTGATATATCAGATTAACCAATCAGAGGTAGTGGTAGTAGAAGTCAAAAGACTCAAAATAATTTGAAAGTAAAACTTTGTCTGACAAAGTTTTCTATCATCATGTTAAATGCATAGTGCTAATGTACAGTATAAAGTGGGTATCATCAATTTTACATCAAAACTTGAGTACTTTGTTTGACAAAGTTTTGATCGCAATAATCCTATTATTATTAAGCCCAATAATCATGCGTATAAACTCATATCTTGATCACAAGATCGATTCGCAATGTCCATAGCAAGCTAGTTAACAAGCTAGAAAGATAACAATTCGTTGGAACTCTTTGTAACAAGTTTGTTATGGCATCTGCAGTAAATCTGCTGTAACTTGTTAACAAAATGGGAACAAGCAATTTGAACAGACCGATCAATTCAATCTAAAAACACCCTGGCTAATGTGGAGATAGATAACTCTATTTGGATTAGCTTTGTATTCCTGGTTAGATCTCCTGAAAATACTTCATTAGAAATCTTATCTGGACCAGTAGGAGCGAGTGACCAGGCCGAGTAACAATCCAAAATTGTTTGAAATGTTTTTAATCATTTCTAAATTTCAGACGGCAACCAGAAACGAAGTATTGGACCCATATTGATCGCTTACTCTCAAGATAAAAAATTAGCGTGACCCCTCTCTTGACGTAACAAGCATATCCTCAATAACCCAAGATGGTGAACAGCTCACTTTTTTCAGTCGAAATATTTTGAAAACTAAGCAAGATATAAAAAAAAATGTAATAGCTAGAATTCAGTATATAGTTTTAAGAGTTCTTTCAAATGAACTACATCATTTTTTTATTGTCAATGTCCTTTAAATAAAATAAAAGATAGTGAGATAAAATAACCAGGAATATCAAGTTAACCCAAGCAGTGTCATTACTTGGTTAACCTGGAAATTCAACCAGGGTGTTTTTAGAGTCATGATAGCGGTTCATGGAACAACCTTCAACTCTGGTGATGCAGGTCTGTAAAAACTTCTGCATTTTACTTGTGTGTTTGGTTGTTACGCCTCATCGACAGGCAGTACAGGCTTTCCACCATACACAGAATACAGGAAATCCCAAGCTGCTTTCGGAACTTGAGGAAAAAGATAAACAATATGTGAATTCAAGTCCAGGTGTTGGCGGTATCTGTGACCAGGCATGGTTCAATGCCTGTAATATGCATCTGTCTGATCAGGAGTTGATCACAGTCACATATATACGAGGAGAGTGATTCCAGTTTGTCTCAAAACACCGCACGTTTCCTCGAAGTGCTTCAGTTTCCTCCTGTAGTAACGGTGGAGCAATTAGGGAGTTTAAGCTTCGCGTTCAAACGTCAAATGGCAAACGCCAGGGGAAGAAAAAATATACGCTACAAGGTAATAAATGGGAAATCAACTTGCCTATTTTAAGACTGTAATGTATGCTTCTTTTGAGATAAGAACGCGAGAAGATGAAGCGAAGAAGTTAAGCAAAAATTCTGCCAACAAAATTTGAAATTAAACGAGACTTACCTGTAAGTTGAAGTTTGATTGGAATTCTACTTCGACATCAACTCGGCAAAAAAATAAAGGCATCAACATTTTCTTTTACATGATTTGAGTGCAGCAATTTTTATTTTTCTAAATTCGACTATGCCGTTTGCTGTTCCCGCAAACGTGAAGCTTAAAACTCCCTAATAAGAATGGTCGACCTTGTGGGAACAGTTTAGAACCGATGGAGTTATCCAGGACTAATAAAATCTGTTTGATATGTTAATTTCAAGGATTACTGGATAGGATATTTGATAAACCATGGCATTGTACGTCGCTTACCTCGTTTTCTTTGAAGACCTATTCTAAGGTTATTGATGGGCCCAGGTGGATCTGTCAGATGAAAAAATCAACCATTAATGCATAACAAGGGCCTTCGCTGGAAACGTCGAAATTCTCCTTATATTTTTCAGGTAGTTGCATCCCCACCAACGAAAGCTTGTTATTTAATGCACAACACTTGCTTTTGATGAGTAAAATCGAGTAAGTGTTTTATACAACAGAGAGCCGGATTACCTTTATTTACTCCATCAACGAAGTTCTTCCATTCTTTGAACCACTTTATACTGATGAAATATTGAGGAGCCGAACTATCGCTTTTGTCAAATATCTCTTTGATTGTGTCAAATTCGTATGTTCTGCGTTTTTCTAACTCTTCAAGTTCTTTCTGTAAGAAATCAGTCGCAAGGTCAAATCCTGCACAGACCTTTGGAACGATCGTGTTTTTTTTAAAGTTCACGGATGAGTCAATTTGCTGGTGTGTACGAGTCAACTAAACCGACTTTATTTGTATTGTATAGCTCTATCAGTTCCAAACTGTTCTCCCTAGAGGTCCGGTAAGGATCATCTCTTATTGATCCAGTATTACTACAAGAGGAAACCTAAACTAAACTTTATTTATACTGGATAGCTCTATCAGATCTAAACTGTTCTTCCTAGAGGTCCAGTAAGGATCATCTCTTATTGATCCAGTGTTATTACAGGAGGAAACCTAAACTAACTTTATTTATACTGGATAGTTCTATCAGTTCTAAACTGTTGCCCCTAAAAGTCCAGTAAGGATCGTCTCTTATTGGTCCAGTGTTACTACAGGAGGAAACCTAAACTAAACTTTATTTATACTGG